TTTTGGGCATGTTTCTGATTCTATGAAGAGAAGGGTGCATGGTACAGTTTTAAGACATTCTGGGAAAGTCAGATAAACAGACAGACAATCAGGCAGACTGACAGATGGTCAGGCAGAATGGCGGAAGAACAGATAGTCAGGTAGATAGATAGACAGGCAGATAAATAGACTGGCAGGAAGATAGATGGCCGGACGGACAAAATACAGAGAAACAGACAGACAGACAGGCGGAAAGGCAGATAGACGGACGGATGGATGTTTATCTGTCTTTCCGTTTGTTTCTCTGTCTTTCAATCTGTGTATCTGTTTGTCTGTCTGTTTATCTGCCTCTCTGTCTGTCTCTCAGTCTGTCTGTCTCTCTGCCTACCTGTCTGTCTGTTTGTCTGCCTGTCTCTCTGTTTGCCTGCCTGTCTGTCTCTCTGTCTGTCTACCTGTCACATCTCAAGACCATTCAGTTCAGCCTAAGTTGACGAAAGTAATCATTCATTACGATGAATAACCGAGATAACTTACCTTCGCCGTCGCTGCCATGTTTGTTGATACCCAGCTGTGTCACAGTGCCAGAAAACACTGGGGCTTAGCTTGCTTGACTGTTGGTAGGGGGTGAGGGTAGGGGGGAGGTAATGGTTAAGGTAAAGTACTTGGATAAGAACGGTGGGGTGTGGGGTACAATGCCCAGAGGATAGGGTAAGGGAAGGGGGGGGGGGGGTGATGCTATATTAGAGGTATAAAAGAAAACGAAAGGAGTGGTATAGAAAACGGTACTTTGTCAGGGGAGCCTAAATATGCTTCTTCATGCTTTTTCTCTCTGTCTCCCCGCCTCATTTTCCCTCCCCCCTCTCACTCTGTTTTCTATCTCTCTATCTATCTATTTCTCTCCCTCTCCCTCTCCCTCTCCCTTTCCCTCTCCCTCTCCCTCTCCCTCTCCGTCTCTCTCTGTTTTCTATCTCTCTATCTATCTATTTCTCTCCTTCTCCCTCTCCCTCTCCTTCTCCCTCTCCCTCTCCCTCTCCTTCTCCCTCTTCTTCTCCCTCTCCCTCTCCCTCTCCCTCTCCTTCTCCCTCTCCTTCTCCCTCTCCTTCTCCCTCTCCCTCTCCCTCTCCTTCTCCCTCTCCTTCTCCCTCTCCTTCTCCCTCTCCTTCTCCCTCTCCCTCCTCTCCCTCTCTCTCTCTCCCTCTCCCTCTCCCTCTCCTCTCCCCTCTCCTTCTCCCCTCTCCTTCTCCCTCTCC